TTGAAGAGCTTTTTGAACATAAAAGCATGGAGACATGTCACAATAGAGGCACTAAGTACTAATATGAACCTGAACATTAGCATAATAGAGCCCCTCCAACATTTCCACCAGGACTGAAATGTTCAGGATTGGCACATTAAAGGCTCTTAGAACTTTAGTTTCAATTTTAATACAGGACTTTAAAGGATCTTGTATGTCAATGTGACCTTCCTGGCTAAACAAAGAATGAAAAAATCTAAACTATTAGTTGGGATTTTACTTTTGTGCCTGCAGTGTGACAGTTTTGGCACTCATATAGCTCAGACGGTCAAACTCTGAACTTGTTCCAAATTGCTCCACTGTGCTGTTGACATTGATTTGGACTTATCAGCTCAGCCATCCCTGCTGAAGTCAACACTTCCCATCCCTGCTCCTTCAAAGTGCTTGCCTGAAAGCATTCACCAACAGGAGATTGTCTTTGACCTCCGACCTCAGCCCTGCAGCTGCAGCAACAGGACGTTGTGGTCAGCAGCTGGATGGACGCCAAGCCCCCCTCCTTTGTCCTCTCCTCTGTGAAAAGTTTCATACGGCAAATATAAAACTCTTCTAGGAGAAAACAAAACAAAAAAGGAGACGCCAGAGATGAGAAAATGTAGAAAGAATGATTTAAAGCAGAGCGGCTGAGGGGAAAACAAACATGAAAGAGCCGTCACTGTAGGAGCGATCGCCTAAATGCTGCCAACTGTCACATAATCTGCTTCTCTGTGGCGGATATGCAGATAGGTGCAGAGGATTGTGGGTAGGTAGAAGGCTGGCTGGCTGAGTCGGCTATTAGAACGAGTCGATCGTACAGCATCATCTGAATAAAAGCAGGATGAAGACCATGATTTCACAATAAAACGCCCTTCACAACGGGAACGGATTGTGTGTGTGGGAGTGTGTGACCTTGAAAGAAGAGGTTTAAAACCTCTTTAGATCCGTAAAAAAACACAATATGGAAACGTGAGGAAAGAAAGCAGAGCGGGCGGAGGAGGAGGAGGAGGAGGAGGAGGAGGAGGAGGAGGAGGAGTGGAGGCAAGCGGAGATGCTCATTAGCTGAGAATCAGTTAGATGTGAAGATGGTGGATGTGATCATTAGGGCCAGGAGGGATCAGACTCCACTGTCTATCCTCCCACCAACACTCATGCATGTGTGTGTGAGGATGTTGCAGTGCAGAGGATGAAAGGGCTCATGGGTAAAATCTTTTTGGCTCCCCCCCCTCCCTTCCTCACTCTCTCGCTGCCTGTCACTTATTTCTTTTTATCCCTCGTCTCCATTTTTACCCCCCACCGCCTGCTCATCTCCAAACCGAAAAACATCCATCCTGAAATGTTGCAGCTCCAACAAAAATGCTCCTGATGAAATGGCGTTATTTTTACACCCGGAACACCTTCATTATTTTCCAAAACACCAGCGTTAAAATCAGTATCTGTACTTTGGTGCTGATGTTCACCAAAATATATTTTCAGTCCTTAAAATAATTTGTAAAAATGGTACTGGGCAGAGGTTTGTGCTCTGGGTGCTTTTATGGCCGGATATTAATATTAAACCGGGACTATAAATAATATCTTTAATAATTAAGCTAGTTAATTCCTCTGCAAATTAATTAATTGAATTAGTTATTATAGGTTGGGGTTTGTTAAGGGTAAGGGTTAGGGGCTTAGGGTTTATCTTTTAATATTATATTATCTTTTAATATTTATTTTAACTTCTGATTTGGTATCAAACTCAATTTGTGAGTCCCTAAATAAGAAAAATAAATAAAAAGAAGACATTTAAAAGAAACGAACCAAGGGGAAGGGAAAACAACTTGGTAACATTCGTCAACAAAAAACATTCACATGATCTTCACGTTACGAGGAAACCGGTCATATTGAATGACTTTTTGTTGGAGATAGTAATTCCTAAGATGTTGTCGAGAATATTATAATATATATATTATATTTGTATTTATTCCCAACGTATTACAAGCACCAAACTCCATGAAGTTAGGGTTTGTCAGGATTCGGGAAAAGGTAGGACCCAAATGCAGAATAAAAAAGACAAAAAAAGGTCAAGGAACAAAAGGCGAGCTTTATTTAAAAAAAGCCGATGACTGAAAAAACATGACATGAAATAAACAGGTAGCACGAGGTAAACAAAAACTGACCGTGACCAACATGGAGGGAGACAGGAAAGACAATGAACCGACATGGAGCACAGGGGAAGACGAGACTAAATACAAAGAAGGGTAATCACAGGACAAGACCCAGCTGGGAGGGGGGGCATAGTCAGGGAGCCGGGCACAAGGACGGACCGGGTTCGTGGCCGACTGGACCACCGGCGGAATAGGATCTAGTGTCGGCTTTAATAACCTGGGGTCAGTAATGCAGTGCACATTGGTTTGAACTTCAGTTGGGATATTTTCCGTGTCACTTTTCATTTGCCATTTTGTGCTTTGTGATTTCATTCTGAAAGGTAACTGGAGTGTCTCAGCCCCAGCAGTGTTCACACTTTGCTAGCACTTTGTTCCTCTCACTAATCTACACAGGGCGGCAGATTGTAGCGAGTGTCTGATAGCAGCAGGACGTAAACAGACTCACAGTAACAACACTAATCAATAGAAAGCACTGAAGTACAAACTGCCAGAGAGCAAAGATGAATGAAGAAAAGGAAGAAGTAAACAGTGCACCTGTTAATCCCAGAGAGCGACGCAGCGACGCCTCGCACTCACAGGGGAGAGATCATTCTCTAATGTTGCCGTCAGATAGGGGAGTTGTTCACGCTGTCTGCAGGTTTGAAGCCGCTCTATTATCCGCTCCCTCCTGCACACCTCTTATTCATTTTCAATTTCTATGGAAACCATCTCGTGGAAAGCGGCGGTGCAGCGATGGAGCCGTGGAATGCAGCGTGGCAAACCGCTGCATCGCCGCGCAGAGGTAGTTCTGCTTAAAACTGCAGCAAACAGATAGAGGGGGGGGTGAGACGGGGGAGGCAGCTTGATTGGAATGGCCTTCACATGTTCTATCGTACGTTGAATTGATCCCTCTCTCTTTGGATTTTTCTTTTATTCCCTTTCCTCTCGCTTTATTTCACTCTGCATGTAACAACAAAACATAAACTGTGCATCTCGTCCACTTTTCTCTCAATCCCCCTCCCCCCTCTCTCCCTCCCTTTTATTTTATCCTCCTCTTTTCTTCATCAAGGCCATGTCTTTTTATCTCTCCTCCCGCTACTCCAGCCCACACTCTCCCTTTCTGCTCAGTATGAATATTGGATGTTCAGACAGACATGCAGTGAGTCTCAGAGAGTGGGATCAATGCTGCAGCGCACACACACATTCATGTGCGAGGCGGCTAATGCGAAGTCAATAACTTCTACAGGTGTCCTTGTTTGTGAGAAATGACTTTGCGTCATTTAGTTTGCACTGAAGAGCAGAACAACATAAGTTGCAGCAGAAGTTTTTTTGCTATCGACAGTCTCACACTTTCCTCTGGTCTCACTCCATTCAGCAGAGTGATGCTCTGAATGTGCAGGAGCTGGGTGCTGCAGCACAGCGACGGGCACTCACTGCTTAGCAACAGGAAAACTCCACATCACACCTGTACTGCATACTACCTTGTCTGATGCATGGGGTTTCATTTGGCTGCTAATGAGCAAAAGTGCAGTTTATTGGAGTTAAGCTCATTTGAAATATATTTCAGTTTTTCAGCTTAAAGAGGACCTATTATGCTTTTCTGACCTTTCACTTTCCTGTAGTGTGTTACCTTGTTTCTCGGTGCATCTAACTGGTCTGCAAAATCTAAAAGCGGGTGTTTCTTTCCCACTCCCAAATATGGGCTTTTTTCTGACATTTTTAGACAATATTTTCTAGGGATTAATAAGTAGAAATGGAAATATTAGTCAGTGATAAATAAAAGAGAAACAAGTGCTTCATATCCATCCATTGACCAACACAGCAATGTTATATGTGCACAATGTGACGGACGAACAAAAGTACTGTATGAAAGAATTATGCATCATTTGTACATGCAAATATGTGAAATGAATATACTGCACTGTATTAGGACATGGAGCGTGTGTGTGTGTGTATGTGTGTGTGTGTGTGTGTGTGTGTGTGTGTGTGTGTGTGTGTGTGTGTGTGTGTGTGTGTGTGTGTGTGTGTGTGTGTGTGTGTGTGTGTGTGTGTGTGTGTGTGTGTGTGTGTGTGTGTGTGTGTGTGTCATCGCCTCTCTCCCTTTCACTACCCTTTGAATGCTGGAGCTGTGTTTCCATGGTAACACTGACCCCTGGGAGTCACACAAGTAGCCTCTTTAGAATCCCTCTCTCTCTCCGTCTCTCTCTCTCTCTGTGTCTCTGTCTCTCTCTCCTGCTTGTCCATCCTTTCCTCCCACTCTGTGTACTTCTCTCTACCTCTTCATCACCTGTTCTCTCACCAACTTGCTCTTCTTCTCTTTCTCCTCTGTTCACTCCGAAAGAAAAAAAAACCTCTTTGCTAGTTATGTGTTCAGGTGGTGGATACACTGCCACACACACACACACACACACACACACACACACACACACACACACACACACACACACACACACACACACACACACACACACACACACACACCCACACCCACAGACACACACACACACACACACACACACACACACACACACACACACACACACACACACACACACACACACACACACACACACACACACAGGAACTCACTCTCTCTGTACTCACACATGGTTCAGTCTCTCTCTCTCTGCGTCGTCTCTTTCTGTTTCCCATCCTTCTCAGGGACACCTCTGAAGAGCAGAGTCCTTTTGAGCGCTGACCTTGCCTTTTAAGTACCGCTAAACAATGTGTGTACCATTTAGCAGCCTTGTGCATGACAAAGGAAAGATTTCATTCCCCATCGCATTAATCCTTGATTTAGTCAATGTAATATGCTGATCAATAGCCTTCAAGCAATAACCAAACATGTTTCCTTCTCTCTCCCAGGCCAAGCTGATCGTCCCTAACAGCACGGCGGGGCTGATCATCGGTAAAGGTGGAGCGACAGTGAAGGCGGTGATGGAGCAGTCCGGGGCGTGGGTCCAGCTATCCCAGAAACCCGAGGGCATCAATCTGCAGGAACGGGTGGTCACCATCAGCGGGGAGCCCGAGCAGAACCGCAAAGCCGTGGAGATCATCGTCCAGAAGATCCAGGAGGACCCACAGAGCTCCTCCTGCCTCAACATCTCCTACTCCAACATCACAGGCCCCGTCGCCAACTCCAACCCCACCGGCTCCCCGTACGCCAACTCCACCGAGGTGATGCCGTCCGCGGCCGCCGCTGCAGCATCCGCCGCTTCTTCTCTGCTCGGCCAGGCTAGCTTGGCCGGGGTCGGGGCCTTCCCCACCACCATGTCCAGCTTCTCAGGCAACGACCTGCTGGCCATCACCTCCGCCCTCAACACCCTGGCCAGCTACGGCTACAACACCAACTCCCTGGGCTTGGGTCTGAATCCCGCGGCAGCCTCAGGAGTGTTAGCAGCGGTAGCAGCTAATGCTAACCCAGCAGCAGCCGCCGCAGCTAATTTGTTAGCATCCTATGCCAGTGATGCATCCACCAGCGCTCACCAAGCTCTCGGGGGCTTCTCTCTGGGATCCTTGGCTGCCGCAGGAGCCACCAACGGCTACTTGAGCGCCGCGTCGCCCCTGTTGGGGTCATCTCTACTGGCCCAGGAGAAGCTGGGAGAAGGAGCAAAGGAAGTGGTGGAGATTGCCGTGCCAGAAAACCTGGTGGGAGCCATCTTGGGGAAAGGAGGGAAGACGCTAGTGGAGTACCAGGAGCTGACTGGCGCCAGGATCCAGATCTCCAAGAAAGGCGAGTTCATCCCTGGAACTCGGAACAGGAAGGTGACCATCACGGGGTCTCAGGCCGCCACGCAGGCTGCACAGTACCTGATCAGCCAGCGAATCACCTACGAGCAGGGGGTACGTGCCACCAACCCACAGAAGGTGGGCTAAACCTGACAGCCAATGAGAAACGAGGAGGAAAAGAGGGGAAAAAAAGAGTGGGGGCTTGGGGGAGGAGTTTAAAAAATTGAAAGTGAGAATGGAAAAAGGAGAGGAGAGCAAGAATGTCAGAAGGAATCGTCCGCGCCGTTTTCTTCTGCGTGTTTTCAGTATTCTCTATAAAAAAAAGAAATGTTGACGCGAAGCAAAAATGTGCTGAGAAGACGAGGAGGGAATGGAGCGAGTTATCACGCTGAAAAACCAAGAAAAAAATGTGTAACTAAATGTGTAAATAAGGTTTTATTACTTAACGTCTTGACCTTTCGGGATTTTTTATTGTTTTGTTTTATTGTTTTGATTAGTAAATTAAGCTGTCTGTTTGTTCGTTTGTGTATTGTGTGGACATAGCTGAATGCCATGTAGACAGGCCGACTGCCTGAGAGGCGACAGGAAGTAGGGGGAGGAAGGGAAGGGCATGGGCACACAGGGGGGAGGGTTTGCGTTTACAGGGTACAACCCAAAATCCCTTATGGAAGTAACCCTAACCCCTCCCTCCCCTGAAGCCCACACCGGTCACCCTCCTGTAGGGTTTTTGTTTTTGTTCTAGTTTTGATTCGCCCCTCCGCCCCTTTGCCCCGCCTCCCCCCGAAGCCTCTCTCACTACTTGCCCACAGCCTTGCCTTCCCCTCACCCCTCCCCCCCTTTTTACAAGGGTTTTTATAATGAGCAAGACTGCAAACTTAAGCCTGGTGTGCGAGAAAAGAAACGTTGTCAAATCCCCCCGTAACCCCATTGATTCTCTCCCCCGTTGTATGATCTCAACTCCCCCCTCCTCCCCTCTTTCTGGGAGACGAAGGAAGGGTGAGGTGAACTCGGGAAGGGGTGAGGGGCGGAGAGAGTGAGCTGGGCGTTTCTTCGTTTGCACACCACCCTCTGTATACCCTGTGATGTATCCTACGAGCAGTGCAGCGCTGCAGGGGTGTCACGGCACGCAGCACCCCCCCCCCCCCCCCCCCCCATACGCAGCTCTAGTGTTTGAGATAGAATGCCGAGGCGCACGTTGATGACCTCACGTAGTGCGATACCGACGAGAGTGATACTGTGCAAGCTGCGGCAAACACACAGGATCTATGGCGTTTTGATTTGCAGTCTGCTGTGATGATTCTGTTATTATCTGATATTGTCACGATTATACGAATCCTCACCATCGTCATTATTTATTGATGAGTTCACCCATAAAAAGCTCAGTTGTTTCGTTTTTTTATCTGTGAATTCAGGTTGACATGAATGTAAATGAGACTATTTTTTTGTTTTAATTTAAATGAATTGAATATGAATAGTAATGTCACAAAGTGTAATATATGTCTTATTTAAGTCCAGTAAGAGAGCCGCCCCAGGCATTAATATCATTACAGTGAAGGATTACCTTATATATCCAGTCTAAGAGCAGAACAGGGAATGCGCACACACATGCACACGCGTACACACTGAAACAAAACGCTAATGCCACATTTGGTGCTAGAAAAGGGAATTCACCATATCTATGATGCAGACTGCAGTGAGACCTCTAGATTAGCAAGTAAATATCTGTAATCACACCACAGGCTGCAGTGCAGATCTACGCAGCTATAATAACCTCAAACGCCTCGTCGCCATGCTTGGCCATCCTCCCCATGCTCCAAAATATCCCTATGTTCTAAATCTGTAGTAAAACGCCCATAAAATTTGCCTAAAATGTAAAATTGTAACCAAAATGAATAATTGGGTTCTCAGATGAGCTGCTACTGCTCAGCCTGTGGTCTTCCAAACCCAAACCCAGTCCAAGCAAGAGCACTTAAGACTCACAACGTACTACTGAGACATTAAGAAAAGGAAACACTGAAACATGGCGACTGTTCGTCCGGGGTCCACTGCAGTTTCTGCTCGTCTCACTCCCAGATTTGCTATTTTAAGACAGCATGCACATCAGTAAAGGAGATAAATAGCCTCACTGATCTCTTATCAAGCGACCGTCCGACTGCCGATGAAGGGCAGACATGATTTCCAACACACGTCCAGGGAGTTGTTTCTGCCTCTGGCAAACTGCAGGTTTCCCGTGGCAACTGCCCACTGTAGACCCAGAAGGCTGCTGAAGTTGCTGTTGTTTCTTTTCTTGTTTTCTTTTGTTTTTTTGGTTTGTGTTGTGTTATATATATTTTTTTTTACAATCGGAGTACACTGAATTTTTGTCTTAATGCACTGTGAAGCGAGGGATCGGTTCTCTCTGCCTATGAGGTCAGGGATGTGTGCTGTAGACGGCATCGCGATTGGATGGTTTTTGTATGGCAGGGGGAAAAAACCACACATATATGAAATATATGTAGAATGCATATGAAGAACTTCACCAGAAATGTATCTGAATACTGAAGGAGGAGAAAGAGACTAGGTCGATGAAGAGGATCAATCAATTGAGGTCACGAGTTTGAGATCAATTAGAGTCTACCCACCTGTTGTCCTGGAAAAGGGTTTTGTAATCCGAGGGTGGGATGTTGGGGGAGTGTTAGGTGTCCAGCAGCAGATTAAAGAGACTGGAACAAATTATAAATTCACTTTTCTATCGCTGTCTTTTTCATAAAAATGGATAATGTACTGTACATCCAATGGGCCAATCTGAGTCCAATAGGAGTGTGACGGAATGTAAAAACTGACTTAAAAAATGAGGAGGGGGTGCATTTGATCTATTGAACAGCCCGGTGAGGGGAGCGACTCCTCTAAGTTAATAAACAAATATGATTCTTTTGAAACCAATCCGACCCATAATGCTCCACTGTGCTATCGAATGTGTCACTCTCTGTTGGAGCGCCAGTGAGGGTTTATCTCCAAAGCTTGGTAAGGAGGCTTCTTTACTCCCATCTAACACCATCCACTCTGTCCTCACCCTCCCTCCCACCCGTCCTCAGTCCTCCAGTGCACTCCCATCCTGACACCCCCCCTCTCCTCCTACTACATCGCTCCATGGGTGACTATGTCTGGTGTTACGATCAATGCATGTCTGCTGCTTGCCCTGACAAACACCACAGAATGAGTCTCTCCTCTGTTTGCCTCCTCGGGGGGCCGGGGGGGCCGGAGACGCCCTGATCTAACGCACCACCACACCTGCAGAGGAGGTCCTAGTTGAGGCTGGCAGGGCACAGCGAACAAACACTCTTAGCTGTTGGATCAGTGCGTTTAAGTTTATAATACTTTGTTTATTTGGAAAAACTTGCTGCACAAACATACACATATCGTGAGGGAATATTCTGTCATTGATGGGGTTTGACTGGATTTATGTTGGGTTTCTTAGTGGCAAAAACCTCATAAGACCATATGAAGATAGTGGTAGTACTCATAGATAGTGTGCTTTTGTTCCACTGTAGAGCTGTACTGTGCTGTATGCAGTTAATAAGCTATTCTTCAGTGCATGTTGCTCCATCTTTGAGCGGCTAAATCATGCTCGACTTGTTGTTTATTGAGTAAAAATGACCGTTCACAGCTTTCGTAATGTGAGGATTGGCTGCTTTTATATTTGTCAAATCATTGAAACTGAATATGTTTGGGTTTCAGATTATTGATCAGACTGAAAAAGGAATTTGGACAGGCATATTCACAAGTTTCAGACATTTAAAAAGACTGAACAAATATTCAATTCATTTAAAATAATATTTTGACCATTAATGCTGAATTGAAGATTTATTCTTTAATCGGATTAATCGGCAGATTAAGGGTGGACATCCTTTACCATAACTAGAGCGGGTTTATAGTTGTCCAATTTGCGTCATGGCTAAATGACATTGGATGCAGCACAGTGCGCTTATAGTGGAAAAACGGCACTGATATTCCTGATATAGGTGCCATTTAAGTTGATTATTACTGGGCGGATTTATTTTTCATCTCATTAATTAAACCATAGATAGATCCCTTTTGGTTTGTTATTTAAACAGCGGCTAATCTCTTTAGTTTAGGGGGGAGATCAAATGTGACGAGTACTGGAAGCAATACATGTCGTCCTGTCCTCTGCCCTCCGTCTGCCGTAGGAGCTTTGGATAAGATGCTAAATAGGTTTACATGAGTAGAAAACATTTAATTTGTGGAAAATGCTGCTATATAATAATATCTGATGTACTAAAAATACAACATATCGAAATCTGTCCTTTAGCTGGAGAGGCTAGCTTCAAGTGGCAGTGTAATACAAGCTCTGTTATAAGCTAAGTTAATAATTGTATAATTCTAACCTGAACAAGTTAAAACTGTGCCAAAATAGGTCTTTACAGAGGTAAATGTGTTGATTTAAACTCATAAGATAAGAGGAGACATACTTTTATATTAAGAAAATGTGAAAAGTGCCAAATGAACCATATTTATAAGTGACGTATGAAGTGAGTCGTCCACGCAACAGTTTTTAAGAAGTAAAAGCGCCTCAGTGATGCAGATTGTTGAAGCCCTCACTGTTCCTGCCACAAGATGAGGGACCGCCATGTTAGCAACGTGTTAACCATTCATCTGGGAACTACACTTCCCAGAATGCAACAGCACTACGACTCGGGCTAGACTAATCAATACAGCGATAGGTTATAACGTAATTATGCGATTTAAAAAATGTGACTCGATAGCCTTCTTAAATACAGCCTTTTATAGTTACAATGAAAATGTATTTTGTGGAAATAGATGTTATCTTTTTTGCACGTCTATATTGCATGATATCAAAGTGAAGCGTGGACAAAAAAAGATTTTTAAAAAATCAAAAAAGAAGTGACAAAAAAAAAAATCAGGCAGTGTGTGTCATTCATTTTTCAGGAAACAAATCTCTGCATGCCGATAAGGGTAGAGCATTTTGATATTGTTTTACACGCGTTCAAATGTTTGTCGTTTAAGTCTGCCGACCGCAGGTGAACAAAAATAAGTATTTTGTCGTTAAGTTGTCTAACCATCCTCAAAGGGATACTCTCGAACAAACCTAAGACTATTTGCTACTTGCTGAGCGAGCTTGTACTAAACAGTTCTCAGTTGCTGCCTAACTTTAGTCAGAAAAACTAATCAGGATTTAACTCTGAAGTCTGAGATTGTCCATGAATGTACTCACCTCCGAATAAGTTTGCATATCACTCCTCTGACCATCGACCATCGTGCAGTAGAGGCTTTCGTGTGTGTTTTTGTATTCTAACATGACTAACCCTTGACGCACTGTGTCGAGCTCTCAGTATAACTGTCTGTCCTTCTACCCCCCCCCCCCCCCCCCCCCACGCTCAGAGGCTTGTCTTGTCATTGATATGCACCTTATTGACTTTGACTTCAAATATGACTCGGGGCACCTCCAGCCCTGCCCTGTGTAATTCAGTGTTGGGAGAGAGTCATAAAGAGAGTG